CGATGCCAGGAGCCCCTACTAGGGTGCTTGCTCCTAGTAGCGATGCCCTTTGTTCCTAGTAGCGTCCACCGTAGGAGAAACGGAGAAACACTTGCCCGGACAAACTCATTGCCTTCTCAGTGATGACAACGTTATATTATGGTATGGTATACGCTCACTAGCATACACAGGCATGCTCTTCACTTCGTCGCCAATCTGACTCTTGCTACATTGCAAGAATCTCACTTCCTCTTCCAATCTCTTCCAAGAGACCGTTTCTGCCAAGAGATGCTCACACGCTGCCCCTTCTTGCTGCTGTCGGCTGCAGCTTTGGCTACCGCCTCCTCCGAATTTCAGCAGCTGAGCCGAGTGTCAAGCTTGAAGTAAAGAGCCCCTCTGAAATTTACTACTCCACAACCATGCCTTTAAAAACACTTTAAAAAACCTTGAAAACAATGAACTGAAAATCAAACAATTGTCAAGTTTGAAAACATGTGTGCCTTTTGCTCATCTGCCCAAAAATGTCTTCTGCAACTCTGATCGGTTTGGTCATCCACAATCTTTCGAACTGCGTGATCTGCTGTGAAGCCCAACCACTAAAGATTGGAACAACTCCCATACCTTGCCACCTCCCAATTGTTTAAGGACAAACTGCAGAACTCCGTGATTGCGCTGCCTTTGGCGCAGCCTTCTGAGGGCTGCTGGCCTTCCGCAACTCTTCTGCCCATCGTTCTTCCTCGGACGCAGCAACAATGCCCCGCTTTAACATATGAGCAACTGGTGGTGGGCCTCGAGGCCAGCAACAGTCTTATTACAGTATACTACAAGGCCACTTTTTTGTGACATGAGCTTTTGAACATGCATTAGTGCTGCCAGGAATCCTGGCACAATATACTTGGTCTTCACTGGGGTGACACTCTTGTGTGCAATCATTCGTTAGTTACGTGCGCAACATGTGCGCAACCACACACACCGACCGACGCTTTTCGACGGAAAGCGGTCGACCACGTGACTCTTCGACCCGCGGGATTTGAAGCGGTCGACCTTGGTCCCGTTCGGACACGAAACCCAGTGAAGCAAGATGAAGCAAGATGAATCTGCGAGTTGGGGTCTCCAAATGGGTCCCCAACAAATCCCCCGAAAAGCTCCAGAAACGCCATTGGTTCTCCTGGAGCTCACTTCCAAGCTGCGGTTGTGTGACTTCTGACTGTGCTCCCCCAAGTTCATAAGGTGTTGAAAAGCACCCTCGATTCGATAGGAACAAAGGGAAACTTGAAAGCCATGCTTGGACACCTGGTCCTCCAACTGGGGAACGACCATGTTTGGCCAAACGTCCATGTCCAGCCAGCTGGTGATCTGATGCTTGGACTTGGAAGAAGTGAGCTTTGTCCACTTCTCCTGGGCTGCGCCAAAGAGATCTCAATTTTTAGGTGCCAGGAGCTCCAACAGGCTTGAACATGATGCCGGTTTGGAGCGAGGGTACCAAATGAGGCAAAAAGACTCCATACAAATGCGTTAGCGGAAACTCCTTTTGTTCCACATGGTGAGGGAGTTCGGCAAAGCCAACTCTGTCAGGCCCAGGTTCTGGCGCTATCTTCTGCAGCGTGGCCGTGGCACGTCCCACGCTGGCAGAGGACCAGCTGCTACCAGTGGAGCTGATCAGACCAAACAAGGGCAAATCCACCACATATCCTTAGCCCACATGGAGCCTGCTACATCCCACACAGGATCCGCTTTTTTGGCCTGCTGGACTGGAGCCTTTCTATTATCTCCTGATAAGAAAATCACCCGGGTCACTGGTTTTCCTTTGGACATCTTCACCATCCACAACGACCATGCTCTTCATAAAGCCCGTCTGGGTGTCGATGCCTCTAGTTTCGCCACACCTACAAGTATAGTCAGTACAGTCTTAGTTAAGGAAGAAAGGCTAGAATCGGCTAGAACGTGGAACCACTGAGTTTCAAGTCCTTATATGATGACACCGACTTTCCAGGAACCTGATCCGGATCCGCAGGGCTGACCGGACTCCGTGTAGCGGAAAACCCCCTGTCCATCCCTGCCCGGTAGAGGCGGAACCAGCTCTGGTCGCGTTTCTGGTCGCGAACTGCCTGGTCTGCCAAGCATCTCTTGCGGATGGAGGAGTGGTGTCCGAAAGCTGCCAGCGTAAAGTTCCGCTCCTGAAAACCATCGGCGAGGAGAGTGGCGGTGGGAAGCTGTCAGCGTAGGAAGCTGCCAGGTTTACCACGCGTAGACCACAGCGCGGAAGACCAATGATTCGTGTGGGAGGTCCCTCCTTTGTTAGGTTATCTCTGGTCGGATCCATTGGGGAAAACTAGGAAAATAGTTAAAACAAGCTGGTTTTCTAAACAGCTTGTCTTGGTTCAGGGCGAGTCCAAGAGGATTACAGCAAGGCCAAGATACTACAGTATTTCAATCTTTTGGGAAGATTTGGTGACCGATGTCGGTCCCATTCTCGATCCTCAAGGCCAGCAAAACATAGCAAAACCAAACAACTCTTGGTCCATCCTGTGAGTCATTTCTGGTCCGTCCGAAAACCAGCAAAACCAAACATCATCACTAGATTCCCACTCCCAAAAGTATATCACCTCCCGCCCTTCCACTTTCTGACCTCTCCGCGAGGTAATGTCATGGAAATGGCTGCCGTTTAGCCGCACATCCACCAGTTTAACTGGTCCCACCGAGAAATTCCCGACTTCCACCCCCAACCTCCAACCGAAAGAAAGGAACACCCACCTCCCTGCCCCCAAAACCCCACTCCCCACGCACCCCACGAACCCCACAACGATAAGCCAAGCAACACTGATGTTCACGGTGAGGTCTTTGATTTCGATTGCTCCCGGTGCGGACCAACGACTCGCGAACTTCACCTCATGGGACCACCGGCCGGGCGGGTCGAGGGCGCCGAGCTATGTGGTGGGGGGAAGGCGGGAGACCACCCAGATGATCCTCAGTAGCAAAAATCTAGCAGAGCAAGAATAGATGTGTCACGAGGTATATCACAGTTCATTCCTGGATTGAGGGTTAATTCGTCTCGGCTCATCCGCGAGATTTACTTTTTCCCGAATGCGTCATCATCAGTCATCATTCTGTTTGAGTGCGTGGGGGGAGGACCACACATGGCTTCCCCAAGTCACATAGAAAATTCACTCAAGCATTCAGAAATCAAATCCAACAAGAGTGAGAAACCCAGCCCTTCCTGTAAACTCCACCCCCAGTGTTTCACAACCATACACCATGACCCCCGAACATGATGACAATTGATGACACATCATGTTCCTGCACCAGTGAGTAGGTGCCAACAGCAGGTTCTCAGTACAGGATGGATCCTGAAGAGCTTGGAACATGTCTGGGAGTCTGGGATCCAAGGCACACCGAGGAAAATGGTCGTGGAGTTCTGCGCCCACTGCAAAGCACAATGCACCTGCAGCGGACCACTGACCACATATGCCGCAGTCCACTGGCCACAAATACGACTTTGATGAAACAGTCAGAAGGTGGTCTGCAGATAACGAACGACTGCATCATACTGCATCTTCACAAAGAATTCTGATTAACACTAACTCCCCCCACAAAAGAATCATCGTCCGACTCGCAAGCTCTTAACACACTGAACAACCCCTCCCCCGCTTCGAACCTGACCAACCGGGAACCCCCCCACTGCCGATCCATCGCCTCGTCGAGGCCCTGGCGCTGGTCGCGGAAGGCCTCTTCGGTGAAGTCCATCAACTGATCGGCTTCTTGCTTCACCTGAAGAATCTGATTAGGCTTCTTGCCTAAATTCGGCAGAACAGTGGAAAGCCGTAACCCTCCAAACCGGGTCGTAGGGATACAACATCATCATCTGATCAAGTCAAATGAAGTCCAAACCAGTGTTGAAAGCTCGAAGTGCAGGGCATCTTCCCAATGTGACACCACCTCTTCCAATCTCAGAAGCGTATGTGCGTCATATTGCCATGGCCATCCCCCAGTGAATTTGCGTAGACTCCCGGAGGTTTCTGAGTCATCCGTGGTTTTGTCGCATGATAGGAAATCCCGCAAGGTCTTGAAGAACATCCATTCGCCACGTTGACAGCGACCGGAATCAAAGGTTGTCGGCATCCAAGAGGGGTCCATTGGTTATAGTCATATATATATATTTATATATCTGTGTGTGTGTGCGTGCGCGCCAATGGTGAGACTGTTCATTGGTCACTCAGTTTGCTAGTTTTTTAAGGTTCATGCCCATTGGCACCGTTCCATCGAAGGGTGGAAGTGTGCCTTACCAGCCTTACCAGGTTCGCCTGGGTTCATGCCCATCGCTCGCTGCGTCACACAATTCCCGCTGCCCAACCGAGCGGCGTCGTTGGTGCGCAAGCGAACCTCAAAGTCTAGAGCTTCCACACGAGCGCGATCTAACTGCTGATGAGCACGTAAGACCATGGCCTGATGATGGGCATCCCACCACTAGCACCATCCAACAACGGTGCTAAAATGGCCGTGGTGCCACTGAAAAACCCACCGTTGTAGCCGGGCGCTGACCCAAGAACATCCAAGAAGTATCTTTGACTGTCTGCTAGGGCTCGTGGCATTGCCCAGCTCTTATGAAGCTTTGCGCTGGGAAGGTCTAGGTGAACGTCATGCTAAGAGTTAAGAGTCCGTTAAGAGTCATGCTTGCCTTCATCTCTTGTTGAGTTGCGGGGTAGGGCAATCGATGGATGTGTTGGAACATCGTGGAGTCTAGAGGTTCAAGAGGCTGATCCACAAAACATGCGCAAGAAGGGACAGCAGGCTCACACCATCATCTCAACATATCTCAACCATCTAAAACCAATTTCTTAAGAAGTTCTTATTTTGACACCATCACTTACTTCAGACTTCCATCAGCATCCTCCGCCAGTCTCCCCCATATAGTCGCCTTGGCTGCGCGCCACCAGCTTCGGGAAACTAAGAAGCGCATCCACTGCAGGTGGCTCGACATCACCTCCAAGCTGAGAAACTCCGTGCATTTTTATTTGATGAGACCGTAATGGTGACTCTGCGTGAGACCGTAATGCTGGGGCAATCCGGCAAGCAAATTCAACAACTACACGAAAGGTCTTAGTTCTATAGCTCTGCGTAGCACGTCATCATTATGCCACCACTAATCAGCAAATTCCTAATAGTTTCCCTGCCTGCTCGGCAGTTTGAGGCTCTTCCAGTCCTTTGAGGAAGGCCTCTTCTGTTGGAAAAGAGATGGCAGTGTCATCCTGGGAGGCAGGGCCAGGCCTTCTGCAATGGTTTGGCACTGGGAGAGTGGTTGTCTATGTTCTTCAAAAAATCTGTTCCCATACATGGGGAGTGTGGAGAACCACCATTCGGCATGCAGCTTTGAGATAGAGACATAGAATATTCAGTTCAAGGGCAAACTTCTTCAATAATTGGCCTTTGTTTGCCCGATAGCTAGTAACATCCTTTTTGCGCAAATTGGAGGGCGCCCCGCAAAACAACGCACTGTAGCTCCCAGCTGGAGCAGCTCCCAAAAGACCTTCCAACCCTCCCAGCGTTGTACTGCTGGTCCGAACAACTCTCTTAACTCTTTCAGTGTCATGTGCCGGCTATACCATCTCGGTGCTCAAACATGTTCTCCTCAAACTATTGTCCAATCACTTCAGGAACCTTCCTTTGATCAAGGCTTGCATACGCCGCAACTCTGTCAATACTCTTTGTGCACATCTCGGGTCTGTCCCCACATCAAAAACATTCTAATGTCTTCGCCACCATTCTCTCAGGAAGGGAAGCCCAAAGCAGTGAGACTTATCTTCACTCCAAGTCTCGTTGTCACCAACCAATCCCCACGTGGCTCTTCCGCACAAACACAGCACCCAAAACCGCACGCAACGGCTCATGGCGGCCACCGTCGCGGATGAGGAGGTCGCCAGGCGGACAGCGCACCGATCAAGTTGATTATCTATGATATGTACTAGATACTCCTTGATTCACTCTTGTTCTCGTCGACTTGTTCAAAGGCCTACCTTACACTACCAAGAAGGTTTGCCTGGTCAAAACGATAGGGATCCACACAAAAACGCTACTTATTGGGGCAGGACCCGAGGGCCTCCAGCTTCTTGTGCAACCATGCAACGCAGATCTCAAACTGATCAACTAGTATAACTAGTACATCTGGAGCCTTTAAATAACGCAAACCTCTTAATGTGACCATTCAGCCGTTCTTGCTCGGGCTTTCTCCCAGGTCATGTGTCAGGATCGCGGCGGGACACAAACACCATGGCCAAATAGTCAGGAACCTTTGGGTAGCTCTTCGGGGCGGCATGGGGAGAATCATTGATCTGGCGAAGCATCTGCAAAACTGCCCTTACAGATTGCTAAACAAAACGCCTGCTGCCTGCAAATTGTTTCAGCATGTTTCAGGCATCAGTGCAGTTCGTGCTTCCCAAATTGCTCTCAACTTAGCCAGGTCTCATGGAATCTGCGGCCGATGTGCTGCGGTGAAAAGCATGGGTCCGACTGTCCGGCTGTTCGAACGGCGGACGGTTTAGGAGAGTCCACACCCATGCTGTGTAAGCCCCAGTGGCCTCTGGCACCCAAAGCATAGAAGTAGAAGTGTGGAGCGAAATGGGCACCTTCCTCCAGAAGTTGTGTCTTTGAAGCTTGCAGTTCCGATTCCTGATTGAACACCGCAAACAAAAGTCAAACCATTGAAGCCTGGCCAACAGTTTTTTCATTTGATCATTCTGCTGAATTCTCATTTTTTCCGAAATGTCTAGATCCATACCCGCCCAATCACAAGGGGAGCCCCCCAGGTGAACATGAGGTGCATCATCCCTTTAAAAAAATCAGTGATCATACTTAGGTGCTAAGTTCAAGTAAAGCATCAGCATTGGTGACCTACAAAGGAAATTCCTGGATGATTCTCGCCCGATCCCAACCGAATGCTTTCCAGTCACGCAGTCGGGCTCCTCCGGGACCTCCTCAGCATGTGATGTCAGGGACCTCTTCCCACGGCTGAGTGTACGTTTAGGCCTGTGCTGGAAGAAACCGGATCCCAAAAACGGATGGATTCAAGCTTCAGTGAGAGCTACAGCAAGTCTCGCAACAGGGGCCCTTACACACACTCACTCTCTCACCCTCTCACTCTCTCACTTTCAGTTTCAGTTTCACTTTCACTGTCTGTCTCTCTCTCTCTCTCACACTCCTCCTCTCCATCATGACCAAAGTCTGCCCCAGCCAAGCTGAGGGACTTTCATCTATAGACTCTATACTGTTACTTTTTACGTTTGTGCGTGTGTGTGTGTGCCCCTTGAAGTCACAGGGATCCAATTGGATTGTGCTGTTTGTCCTTTTTACTTTTTGTTTATAGCAGGGGGGGTGCAGAGCACAGTGGAGACTGCACCCAACGAAGCTATCCACTTGTGCTGGAAGCAGAGCCTGATCGGCTCTGTGTACCTGCTTGAATTTTAAGATTTTGTGAAGGTCTACTGGGTTCCGCAGTCATGCACGATATGCCGTCATGTGTCGGTTCGACCTCGCCTTGAGCTTTTGGCCCCATCTCCTTTTGAAGACCTCTAGGCTCCATAGGTTTTCCTGGACTTTTCAGGATTTGGTTTCTTAGGCTGGCGTGTGGCAACCGCTTTCAAGTCAGTATGCAATTCAATAAGTGTGTGTGTGTGTGTCCACCCCTGGACAAAGGGTTTTCCATTGCCACTCTTTTCCCCGTTTTTCCACCACTTTCCACAAGCAGGGGATGGAGACACCTGTATTGCTTCTCCATCAACGAAGCTGGCAATACATGGTGAGGATATCAGTTCCGGAGGCGGAACTGACGTACCTGCTTTCAACACAATGACTCCACTGGTCCACCCTGCCGCTGTTCGTTGTTTTCATGGTCCTTCATGCTACCACCCCCAAACCAGTTTCCCACCGCTGCCTTCAGCCGCCGACTTTCAGCCGCGTTTCTGCAGATGAGTGAACAGATTGTTAAACATTTCAGTTGCGTTGACTTTTTCACCTTACGTTTCCCTCACCTTCCTTCCCATCGTGGAAACTGAGTCACTGAATACAAGTGTCAGAGTGTGTTTCGCTCAGCCGTCCCACTCGGGTGCTGAGTGTGATCCCCGTCATAGGGGCGCCGTTCTTACATGGGAAAGCAACCACCACAAAGCACCACCACTCATCGGACCCTCACAGGCAGTCACCGACACCCTCACTGAATCAACCGATACACTGGCCGCCGGGCCCAAAAACGGTTACTTTCGAATACATCAGATTTCGGATCCATCATGCATGTTGTTTTTTCCACATGTTGCAATTTTTATTGACGGCTAAGTATTCACATGCATGTGCTGCTAAGTATTCACAGGCCGGCTTTCTGCATGTTGTGCCTTTTTGACTTGACGGCTAAGTAGTCACATGCATGTGCTGCTAAGTATTCACAGGCCGGACGAATTCATCATGCATTCCCCTCCCTACCCCCAGGCCTCCGTTGCTATCCCACCCGCTACTCGGGAAACAGAAGGAAATCGCACTCAACACACTTGTGTGTTGGTGCCTTTCCTTCTGTTTCTCCTAGCCTATTGCTAGCTACCCGGGCGGTTTAAGACGAATGTCCCGCTCGCGTTCTACTTTCATTTAACTAAGTGGGCCTCGTAACTACTCCTATCTTTCTTTCTTGCCCTCTTAGTCTGCTTTTGTTTTGTTTGCTTTCTCTGTCTTTCTCAGGCTTTTTAGGTGGCTATTAGTTTTGACGAAGCACGCCCTCCACCGTTTATTTGAGAAAAAGCGCCGAAGCCGGCGACCTGTGTGTGTCCACCCCTGGACAAAGGGTTTTCCACTGCCACTCTTTTCCCCGTTTTTCCACCACTTTCCACAAGCAGGGGATGGAGACACCTGTATTGCTTCTCCATCAACGAAGCTGGCAATACATGGTGAGGATATCAGTTCCGGACGCGGAACTGACGTACCTGCTTTCAACACAATGACTCCACTGGTCCACCCTGCCGCTGTTCGTTGTTTTCATGGTCCTTCATGCTACCACCCCCAAACCAGTTTCCCACCGCTGCCTTCAGCCGCCGACTTTCAGCCGCGTTTCTGCAGATGAGTGAACAGATTGTTAAACATTTCAGTTGCGCTGACTTTTTCACCTTACGTTTCCCTCACCTTCCTTCCCATCGTGGAAACTGAGTCACTGAATACAAGTGTCAGAGTGTGGCTTTTCCTTGAGCGGGAACCCTTCAAAACCCCCAAACCCAGAACGGATAAGGTTGACGGCCCAAAAATCCGATGGTCTGCGTTTCCTCTTCGATGAATCGGAGATGTCTAAGGGATTGGGGCAAGCCATTTCTTTACATTCCACATCAAACTCATTCAAAACCACTGGCTTAGCTTTTGTCTTTCATCTGCTCTGTGGACCTCCGCTTCCTCCACTGAAGCATGCCGGACATTGATGGGATACGAAGCACGTCAAACCTTTGCCAATCATAGCCAGCCTAGCGTCGGCTGGTGGCTGCTCACAGCCGATCTTCGTGTGCTCGCAGCAGTAGTCCCGCTGCTCTTGCCTGAAGCTGTCTGGCAAAGACTGTGTAGTGTCGGAGTCTTCTCCTAAATATGCTTCTCCACTTTGACGTTGTTTGTCGGAGCGTCCGCATCAACAGCAGATACTTGAACTTGTTGCATGCAACCTTGAGACCAGAATGACATGAAGATATGTCACCCAATTACTGTACACTGTGATCTGACTGTCCTAGGTCCTTTCAGCTTATTCTGTCTGTTCCCCACAGTCTCCCCTACTATTGGCAGGAGTCCATTGGGTGCTTGAGGGGTCTCTATGGCTAGTCAAAGAACATCAAACTAGATGATTCTGGAGGCTAATGACCCAAGAGTTGCTAGCCATCCAACGCAGAAAAGTCCAAAACGCAAATGCCAGGCTTAAACCTTTCTCTCACAAGCAGAGTTGATTTCAACAACAGTGGCCCACACCGAGCTGCACACACAAACACACATGTGCCAGAAGGACTGCCAGAAGGCTTAACTACTATTGTATTCTCAGACATTACATATCTATTTCCTTTGCATCCCTTTCTCTTTGGCTTTTGACACCACCGCTTTTTCCCACAAGTGCAAACCCATCCCGACCACCATGAAAGAACCCACTGCCCAGGCACAGCCACATCGTTGGAATGCCCACGTGACAATGGAAGGTCATGGTCTTCTTCATCGCGTCCGTCCAAGGCTTGGCCTTGGGAAGAGGGCCGATGACGAGGGTCGATGTGGGCCGAAATGAAGCGAAAGAGGACGTTCAACGGAGAAGTCTCCCTTCTTTGGGCGCAAAGAATTGCAGGCCAAATGTTTACCCAGTGATACTCAGTGGCCTCTTTGGGGGGTTGCAACAAATTGAGGGCATGAACCATCAAATCAAAACGACGAGAAACAAGTTCTCGTACATGGACTGTCGCTTTTGGACGCTTTTTTGGGGTGCATGAAGAGGGCCGTTGGCTTCTTGGCGGTTCACATGAGTGTTCACATGAGTTGCTGTCACACTCCAAGAGCCATGAGCCATAGCGATCGCAGTGCTGAAACACTTCTCTCCCAGGTCTTTTGGATTACTACAAGTGAACCGTTGTCTTTCAAAAGTGAAACGGTATGTTGCCATAACACTAGGTTGAACTTCCAACTGCACTGGATTGAACTCCGCAATGGCCCTGCAGACTTGCACTTGTGACCACTTGTGCATCCAAAACTGGATTGTTTTGCTTGACCTTTTCTGGGGCGACCGGCCCACTGCATCCAGGGGTTGGCACCAGCCGCCGCCCTTGGAACATGCAGCGGTCTGAGTGTGGGAGAGTGCCATCGGTCAGCGGGATCACTGCAGGTGGCTAACAGGCACGGAACTACCCCAGTTGGGTCCCAACCGTTTTGTTGCTTGGTACACCTTGGTTCAATTGCCCGGTGGTGGGTGAGGGGTTTGTTAAAGGAAAAGTGGTGGAACTCGACTGTGCTGTGCAGCATAATCCAAACACCCTTTTTCACTGGTGTTGGGCGGAGCGAAGATCGAAACAA